TAACGGAGGTTTCCAAACTGCGTCAGCCGTAAGCGCAATAGCACAGCTTCAAACGGTTGAGTCGTACCCTCCGGGCCGTTACCACTTGTGCAAGCCGACCTTCGAGCATGTGCTCTTGACTTCCATCCTGGCCGACACAGTGGCGGCCTTTGTCGCCCTGTGCTCTACTCTTGTGCCCGGCTCCCCGCATGCGGAGATGGTGTGCGCCGAGACGGACCCGACGTCGGGGCTTGGAGCCGGTCCGCGCCCGTTTGGACGACAATCTCCGAACTCGCTGACGGTTGCACCGAAATGGATCGAACACAGTGAAAGCTGAGGTACTTTATAGTCAAGTCACGAGATGACGGGCGCCGTTCATCCACTTTGAGTCCTCCCCTGGTGCACGGCCAATGTTTATTTTATGGCTACTTTCAGTGATACTGTCCAATGTCCATCAGCGGTAGGCGGTGGGTCTGATCACATCGGCCATAGCCCTCCACAGTCAATGTCCTGTTTGTGTCCTGTTTCTTCTGCGTCCAGCTGTGCTGTCCAATATTCTCCGCTCAGCTTTCGATCCCTGCATATATATATATATATATATATATATATATATATATATATATATATATACTATTCGGAAGGCGACCGCCACATGGGGTGCGGCGACCGCCCTCCCTAGACTGATAGTGGCGCCGCTCGCACCCTTTGCGTCCGCCGGTGACGCTCGGCTGTGCTGTGTCCAGCACCTGTGTCCGACGGTGTCCGACGGTGTCCAGCTGGTGCTGTGTCTGTCCGGCACCTGTGTCCGGCGGTGTCCGGCTGGTGTTGTGTCTGTCCAGCGCCGGTGTCCGGCGGTGTCCGGCTGGTGCCGCGTGCCCCGCGTCCGGCACCAGTGTCACGCGGCGGCGGCAGGTGCTGCTCGCAGCCGCGCACCGTGACACGCGGCCGTGTGACCCGAGGCGTAAATCTGGCCGGCCGGCCATCTGGCCCTCAAGACGGGAGGGGGTGGCGGCGGCCCCTCCTCGCACCTGCGCCCGCCTCTTCCTGCCGGCTGGCCGGCCGGCGCGCGCAGGTGAGGAACATCCGGCCAACGCCGCCGCACGGACACAGAGAGGAAGGAAGAGGCGCATCACAGGGAGAGAATGAGCAGGACAAGGCACCAGCTGCCACCTCTACATCTAGATATAATACAATAGCATACGTCTTGTATAGGCAGTTTATGGTGGGCAATGGACCAAATGCATTCTTTCTCCCAACCGAGTTTTTTGAAGGTTACTTCGTAATTAGGCGTGGCGATAAATAGGCAGAGAACGTGCTTAATTACCTCTTTGTCTTAAGAGCAAGTGGTGTTTAGAACGTGCGCAAAGCTGCGACGCAAATCTGCGAATAACCAAATGTCATGCAGATTGATGTAAAGATAACCGAAGGGCAGATTGTTGGAATGACACCGGCGGTGGTTCATGTTGCGGCCACTGTACTGATGCCGACCACAGCGTCGGCTGTTGTGCTGATGTCGACCACAGCGTCGGCTGTTGTGCTGATGTCGAACACAGCGTCGGCTGTTGTGCTGATGTCGACCAGAGCGTCGGCTGTTGTACTGATGCCGACCACAGCGTCGGCTGTTGTGCTGATGTCGACCACAGCGTCGGCTGTTGTGCTGATGTCGAACACAGCGTCGGCTGTTGTGCTGATGTCGACCACAGCGTCGGCTGCTGTGCTGATGTCGACCACAGCGTCGGGTGCTGTGTTGATGTCGACCACAGCGTCGGCTGGTGTGGTGATGTCGACCACAGCGTCGGCTGTTGTGCTGATGACGACCACAGCGTCAGCTGCTGTGCTGATGTCGACCACAGCGTCGGCTGCTGTGCTGATGTCGACCACAGCGTCCGTGTTGTGCTGATGTCGACCACAGCGTCCGTTGTTGTGCTGCTCCACGTCAGCTGCGCGGAAGTGGCGGCCGACTGGTAGCCGACTGGTAGCCGACTGGTAGCCGCTCGCATTTCGTCAGACGGTGTCGTTATCGCGTGCAGAACAACACCGGCAGACGCATCCTGTTTCTGTTCTCCTGCTCTCTGTTCAGCTGCTGTATATTCCACACAATGGAGGGGGGGGGGGGGGGGATCGAAACGTCCCTTGCACGATTACATACTTTTTGTAAATGTGTCCTACACAGCTCTCCCTTCTACCATCGGTCCTGTAATAAGCAGTTTTCTCTCTGCAGCCAACTTTTTCCAGCCAGTCGGACATTTTCAGATGTGGGACAGGTAAAACTACCGTACTTTCCATTTTCTTTTTAAATCATAGCCTTAGATGCGTGCAGAGTTGTCTCAGTCTCTGTCGTATTGGCAAGCTGTTAGGCGCCTTCTTCATACTATGCTGTACTAAAATCGCACTATTCCAAACACATAGTCGGCCGATGACTTGCCTCATGCAGCGCTGTCATGGTCTCACTCTCCATCGAGCGCTTATGCAGCTGCACGGCAAGCCGTTAGAGTTTGCAAAGTTCAGAAAGTACGGTGGTTTAGTGTATCAGTGTTTCAACATGTCAACATCTGAGTCCCCTTTTTCACCCAAAGACGACTCCAGGACGGGTTTTTGGAAGGCATGGACGGAAAGCGGGAATGGAAGGCATGTCGGGACGGATAGCGGGCTGTTTCAAGCGGACGTGACGTCCAAGGCTCCTTTTGACAGTGCGGACGTGAAATACAAGGCTCCTTGACAGTGCCCTGCCGAGGTTCGGCTGAAGTGAGGCATCACGAGCTCCATTGTCTCAAGGCTGGTTGCATTTAAGCGCCGTTTAACGTATGTGAACTGCCAGAGACGGATCCGAGATTAATGAGGTGAGGACTTAAGGTGCCGTATGTGTTCTCGGGAGCTACGGTGCACGGCTTATGAAAAACCATGCAGTTTTCCTGGCACGATTTCTCGAAAACTTTCAACAACGAGTTACAAGAGATGTAACGTAACATATACAACATGCACAGCAACATACATACCGAAACAGCAATATTCTATGTGCAGGGGAGAGGAGACTACAGGGGATATCTAGTTTGAGTTTTGGCCGTCGGGCTGTAGAGTTATAGTTCTCACCTTTTCTGAACGCCGGCGTCACGTACATCGACAATGTTGACATTTCACAAGCATGTAGGCATGAACAAGGCATGTACGCATGCAGGCAGGAACAAGGACAGTGTCAAGCCATCTGGATGGTTGGCAAACCCTTCTCATCGCGACAAGGCTAGTGTCAGTGCCACGATCAGTCGCCCACAATTTCATCGTTATTTTAGCTGCGCCTGGCGAAACGTAACAATGCCAGGGTCATGGCCATAAGCTATGGCCCCCGAATGATAGAGTGTGTCGGAGCGGGTTAACAAATAGGGCTTCTAACAACAGCGCAGGACCCTCTATTCATGTAGGAAACACTCAAAACCCAATATAAATGGCCCTACATTCAAGTAAGAAGTACCCAAAACCCAGTGCAGAAGGCCTCCGAAAGATGGAGTGTACCCGAGGAGGTTATCAAATGGCCCCAATAGGAACGCAGGGCCCTAAATTTAAACACCAAGACCCAATGCGCAGGGCCCCCGAGCAATCCCGTGTGGCCGAACAGTCAGGCGAACAGAGGGGCCCCCGTCAAGAGCGTAGGCCCCCGTTCGAATAGGACGTATCCAAAACCCGATGTAGAGGGCTCCCGAACGATCGAATGCGCCCGAGCGGGTTATCAGATAGGCCCCCGACAAGAGCGTAGGACCCCAATTCAAGTAACACGTACCCAAGACCTAGCGTGGAGGGCCCCCAAAAAGATCGAGTGTACCCGAGCAGGCTATCAGATGGCTCTCGATAAGAGCGTAGGGCCTTACATTAAAATGCTCAATGTGCAGGGCCCCGGGCAATCCAGTGTATCTAAGCAGGTTAACGAGTGGGGCCCCCACAAGTGTGCAGGGCCCTCCATTTAGATGGAAAGTACACCAGGCCCAGTTTGGAGGGCCCCGACCGACCGAGAGTGTATAAGCAAACTAACAGATGGCCGCCCGACAAGAGCCTAGAGCCCTAAGCAAGTGACATAGAATTGGAAACGCCGTAGACAAATGCAGAGGGCCCATGAGCATATCGCGAGTATGTTGGTAGGTGAACCAAAACCAACGTAAAGGGCCCCCGAGCATCCGACAATACCCCGGCAGGTTAACATATGGGTCCCCGGCTATAGCCCACAGAGCCTTTCTGGCGGATGGAGAGAATCCATGGAAGGCCCCTGATTGACGAGAGCGCCCTGGCACGTTAGCAGGGAGGGCACAGCAACAGTGCAGGACCCTCCTAGAAAACGCAAAGAAGTCGAGGCCAACGTGGAAGGCTCCTTGGCGATCGGAATGACACTGCAAGTGGGCATATAGATCCCCGGAAACACCATAGGGCTTCTGGACAGCGCGACAAGGCTTAAAATGTCCAGTTAGCAGCTTTATCAATAAGTAAATATTTGTTCTCTCTTTTCGTACGCCCTTTACTCTTGATTGCACCTGTTCTTGGTGGCCTGAAAATAAAAAAGTCCATATTGGTTGCATTTTGTGTTTAAAAAGCTGCATCTGGTCGGTCGACTATGGGTCCCTTCGGGGTCCAAAGTTGGGCCTTGGCCCCGTGGCCATCTCCTCTGGATCTGCCCCTGAACTGCACCAAATGTTGGCTTGCGGCTGTTTGTGTCATAACGCATTGTTGGTTCGCCATGGACATTCCAATTTTACCGCATGGTTTTTCTCGCCCCAAACGCCTTTGTAGCTTCAGCGACGTTTGCTAACACACCAGACAGCCATAATTGGCCGTGTGCTTTATACGTGCGGACGTGGAGTGGCGGCTGTTGAACGGGGACGCGTTTCCAGTTGACACGCTTCGGTCATTTTGCTTGGAGGTCCGGCAGCGGCGGCGGCTTCGGCCAATCAGCGTCGCCGCTCTGACCGGAGGGCGGAGCCTGGCGCCGCGCAGCTGCGCCGTCCGCCGGCGCCGGCCTGACGTCAGTCGCGATCCTGCGAGCAGCGGAGCGGGAGGTGTCAGTCCGCTGTCCAGCCATGAAGTCGAGCCGAGCGAGCGCGGAGGTGGCACCGGCCGGCCGGCAGCGGCGCCGCGTGGCCTCGTATCTGGAGCAGCTGCGGCAGCTGGTGCCGCTGGTACCGCTCGACAGGCCCGTCAGCCAGCTGGAGGTGATCCAGCACGTGATCGACTACATCAGCCAGCTGGAGGAGCAGCTGGAGCGGCGGCAGGAAGCGCCGCGGCCTGCCAAGCGGCGCCAGCCCCTGCAGGAGATGTCGCGCAACCAGGCGCCCGGCCCCGTCTCCGAGCCTCTCAAACAGGTACGCTGGGGCGCCGCGGTACCGACGGGGTACCGCCCGGGTATCGGCGGTTACAGGCGGGGTAAGGACGGTGTGGAGAGAGGCCTGAGACTGCGAGCTCCACCGATACTTCACCTCTCCACCTCCATTACTGTGTGGGCAGATTCAGGATTGCTCGGAGCGTGGCCTTTTTGACTAGCGTGTCGATAGCTTCGCGAGGCAACAGGCAGAGCGAATGCTGACTTCTGGTATCGTCCGCCTATATACTGTCCACGTCTTCGCGATAAAATCTCCCTAACCACCGACGAGTTCTCATCACCATCATGGACAGTGAACTCTCCTAATAGCAGCAACTAGAGCATAATCACGCTCAAATAAAGTCTACCGCCCCATTCTCCCGTTATGGTTTAATTTGGCCCTGGCACGTGTGTCGAGATCACTTTCAATGGGTGCGAATGCCGGCTTTGGGGGTGGGGGTGGAATACTTAAGTATGGTTCCCCACACCACTGCTGTGCGCCTATCCTCCTCCTCCCGCCTTGTTCATGAACCGCGCCTCGGCCAGCGAGAGAGTACAGTCGATGACATCGGTGTCTGTCAGGACAAATGTGCCAGGGCCAGCTCCTCTTACCGGCCCTGGTGTGACCTTTGTGAGCCGGGCCTCATCACCATCTGTCGGCGCTGACCGCAACGCCAGCCAGCGGTGGTGCCGGACCGTGTCACGTGTCAGGCACGTGGGCGCGGCAGCCGCGCTATAGCCGTGCCCGCGCGGAGCGACTCACTTTCGGAGCTTGCTAATATGGCATCGGACCCCAGCGTGAGTAGAGCGAAAACGTACAAAGCGCAAGCGCGCCACGAACCTCTGAGCCCGGCCCTGTCCCTGCGCCAGCGGCCCACGTCTGCAGCGTGGGTGGCCAGCAGCTCCCTGTGCCTCGTGGTATGCGGCCGTCGTCGTGCCCAGCGCCGACCGGACCCGGGCCGGACCCGCGCCGGACCAGAGCCGGACCCGCGCCGGACCCGCGCCGGACCCGCGCCGGACCAGGGCCGGACCCGCGCCGGACCCGCGCCGGACCAGGGCCGGACCCGGGCCGGATCTCGCCGGACCCGGGTCGAACCCGCGCCGGACCGCGCCGGGCCGCGCAGCTGGCCGCGGGTCCCACGTGAGGCCAGCGACGGCCATCTGCGGGCGGCGCGCGCGGGGCTTGTGTGCGAGAGCCCCTCGGCGGCCCACCTGTCGCCTCTCCCAGCCGGACAGATGCCGCCGCCGCCCTGATATGATTACCGCCGCGCATACCGCTCCCGGTGTCCCATCTGCCACCGTGCTGCCGGCCCGCGGTGCCCCCCCCCCCCCCCTCTCCCCGGCGGCCGCTGCCCGGCTGTCCCCGCGGGTGCCGTCTGTCGCGCGGCCAAATTGGTCGGCCTGAGCGGTGCCCGGCCGTCGCGGCGCGTTACCGCCCAGCCACTGACGGCCCGCCGCCGGCCGGGGGTGGGGCGGCCTCCGCGGGCCGGGCGGGGCCGCTGTGACCTGCGAGGGAGGGCGCCGGAGGGGCGAGGTCACACGGCGGGAAGCGGTTCGCTGTCAGGTCGCGTGGCAGCGGAGGACACACAGTTAGGTCGCGGGGTTGCAGGGGGTGGCCCGTGAAGTCACATGACATTAGAAAGCGTACCGGAAGATCATGTGGCGGCGAAGAGCAAACCGTAGGGTTGAATGCCGAGTGTGAAAGAGCGAGAGAGCAGCTGGTAGCGGCACGGGAGCGCTGTTTGCCGTGCCTTGATGGCCCGTTCTGCGACGTCACTTCCTGTCTCTTTGCATGAACACTGGTTTTTGTCAATGGAATAAGTCACTAAACTGGGATGACTGGCGCGCGGCAGTCATCATCTTTTGTAAAAAATTGTTCAAAAGGACGCTTCGCGACATGCATGCCACAATGTTTATCATTAGCTTCCGTGATGGCAATTTCGTTAATAGAAATAGCACCGGCACAAACATGCCGATAAGTGTAACGGCTAACGAGGCAAGCATCCCCGTCTCCGCCCTTGTTAACAATGGATCATTAGCAGCTGCGAGATAATGGCCAAACTTCACATAAACGTGAATGATGCGCGCTTTTGCACTGATCGCATGAAAATGCATCAGAGCATCAGCAATACTATAGTACAAGTTGGAAAGGTGATGCGGTCTACTAGTTTTGCCATGAAGTGTTGGGGTCAGCAAAACAATGACCCTTGCCCGGCGCCCAGACCGCTGCCACGGGGGCAGTCACACGCGGCGATGTGATCTCCTCATGGTCAACGCATATGTCGTCGTCTAATATTCCGCCGTAATTTCCCTTTTCATGTGCCCTACCGCGTTTAGATCCGCTGCAATCTCCAAATGGATCCTTTGTCCCTCTGGCTAATAGCATGAATAAACATATCCTATAAAGAGACGAACAGATTTCACACGCAGCTTTTGAAGGGGAGCTGGTCCGCGTTAAACGAGCGCGAGGGATTAAGGTGAGGGATTTGGGCAGTGCTCTCCCTCTGATTGGGGTCTGGCTTGGAACGCGGATCTTCACAAGCAGATATATCTTTCGCTGGTTAAACCCATCGGCAATGTTCCCAGCATGCAAACGGCTGGTATATTCAAACAGTGCGCCCTTTGTTTCAGGTGCAGCCGCGGAGTTCAATATAGGCTACTGCTGCCTGGTCTGGCCTCCCCTTCCCACTAGTCAGAACAGAGTCCTCGAGACCAGGACTCCAGAGTCGCCAGAGGCCTCGAGCTGGCGATTCTGTGATCGCGGAAGTTCCAGAGCTGAGGACTCCAGGGATTGCCAGGGTTCTGCGGCCAGGGCTCCAGCATCGCCGGACCCCTCAGGCTGAGGACTTGAGAAGCGCTGGGCCCCGAGCTGAGCGCTTCAGGAAGGGCCCCGAGCCCGCCCGGACGACTCCTGAAGCGGAAGAGCGCGCAGCCGCCGCCGGCCACCTGCGTCCACGGTTCACCAGTCACTGCGTCCGGACCCACGGCGCGCCACGGGAGCCGCCGCAGCCGGCCGGCGCACAGCTCAGCAGGTCCGCGCCGCGGCAACCGGCCCCACCCAGGTCTCAACCGCGGGCTGCTGAGCTCTCCGCCGCTGACCGCTGAGCTCTCCGCCGCTGGACTCTCTGAGCTCTCCGCCGCTGGACTCTCTGAGCTCTCCGCCGTCTGGATGCTGAGCTCTCAGCCGCTGGACTCTCTGAGCTCTCCGCCGCTGGACGCTGGGCTCTCCGCCGCTGGACTCTCTGGGCTCTCCACCGTCTGGATGCTGAGCTCTCAGCCGCTGGACGCTGGGCTCTCCGCCGCTGGACTCTCTGAGCTCTCCACCGTCTGGAAGCTGAACTCTCCGCCGTCTGGACCTCGCGCCCGTCTGCAATGACGCGGCTGACGCTGCCAGTCAGCGGGGCTGTCGGAGGTGCATCTCGGCCGCGCGTCTCCGGGTATGACGATAACGGTGGATTCCGTCGGCTCACTGCACCTCCGAGCGGGACGCACCGAGGTGAAAAGACGAGGCGAACACCCACCGACGCACAGCAGGAGGGAGGGGAGGCGGACCGACCATTACATGTGATATTTCCCCACAGTGTGTTGTGCTTGCATTTGCGCTTGTTTCGCGCCGGGCTACAGGACACAGTCCGGCTTTGTTTCCGTCGCCCCGGTAGAGGCTACACCCGCGCGCGGTCCGGCGAGAGGCAATAGCATGAATGGCTCATGTCACAAATGTTGCCACCATCGCGTTTGTCTGCCACCATTGTGCTACACTGTCTGTTGGTAGCGTAGCGCCTAGTCGTTTTATTCATGTAGTCGCGTGCCGTCGCCGCAGGTCTCGCTCCTCGAAACGTGGCGATGGAAGAGCCAGCGAGCGTCCCTGTTATAATGAGCTTAGAGTGAGGCTAGCGCGTTTCTTGTGCGACTCGAATCTCAGAACACGCACGGTGTGCGCGGCGTTCAAGCAACTGTGACAAATGTCCACAGGCATTTTCTCACGATGTGAGCGTGAGTTCCCTTGTGGCTCTTTCAGGCGATGGATGGTAATGTCACAGCGGCTGTTGCACTTACCGGAGGGCAAATTCGCGCATTTTGTTCGTGCAAAGATACCAAAGACGGTGTGGTGAATACACGTCATAGCATAAGTAACGTGTTTTCGAGTGGCTTCGGCAAAGAAAGGTAATATTACCCATGACACAACTGGCGAAAAGTTTCAAATATATCAAACGATTTATCGATGAACATGCCGCAATAATAGCTATCTTAGTAGTAAAGGTAGATATTTATGTGCACACTGGACCGTCTCCCTGCAGTGGATTCACGGAAATACACGAGTGGTGGTACGGAAACCCGCCTGATGCGGAACACCGTGTTGCAATTAGAATCGAGCTGCTTCAGCGGCTTGCGACCAATAAAATGCAGAAGTTACGTGGGTGAAAAGTTGCAAAATCTGCCGATTTTGTACGTCGCATCTTTCCTTTTGCAGACCACCTATTCCGTCTCTTGCGCTTCGTAAGCCGAACGTCAGTTTATGTTTTCATTAAGTCAGGGGCGTGTGGAGAGTTTCGCAAAAAAGGCAGAAAGCACAACTCGGATACTCAAAAATTTCCATTGAAAACGGAACTTAGTGCGGCCGGGCGCCATTTTGTGTGTATCGTAGGGCAACGTCGCATACTCTCGGCCGTCTTGTTTTCGTATCTATGTGGAGCTGTTAGCTGGCAATATTTAGTCGCATTCACGCGACTAAATATTGCCATGAATTTGGTGAGGTGGTGGTACTATGTGCGTACGCCTCTGCACTGTATTTTATACAGCTATGTGTTGTTAATATGTGCGAAAAGATATCTTGTACGCAGATGTGGCTATAGGTTAAGCCCATAGGTGAAACTTTGGAAGCAAATGACAAAGTAAAGGTCAAACTTATGGCAATACGAAACATCCCCCAAGCGTCAGGAGAAGCCACCGCAGCCATCGACTAAGCACGCATGCCTAACTTAAAGATGATACATTTTGGCAGACTCCCAGAGCGTCTACCGGTTTACTTCAGAAGCGACAGCGCAGCTTTCGGATTTCACTGAAATACCTGGCGATTCCTGCGCCTGTGGACTAGTTGCATATCGCTATCTATTGTCGTGCTTTTCTTCCCATGGCTGGAAACGTCACACTTAAATTCTTACAGGATGAGGGACGGCGTGCTACGTGTGAGGTAACAACAGACTCCCTTCAGCTACCAACTGCTGCAGCCATCGCAGCATCTGAGTCGAGAATCGAGAGCAGCCAGGCCCTGGACCATGTGACTAAGAATACCCAGTGACCGCTGACCGCCTACTGGTCGCTGATGACTGGCTGTTGATAGGTGATAACTGAATACTGGTCGCTGATGACTGACTACTGGTCGCTGATGACTGACTGTTGATGGGTGATGACTGACTGTTGATGGGTGATGACTGAATACTGGTCGCTGATGACTGGCTGTTGATCGCTGATGACTGACTGTTGATGGGCGATGACTGGCTGCTGGTCGCTGATTGCTAACTGCGGATCGCTAATGACTGCCTGTTGATGGGTGATGACTGACTACTGGTCGCCGATGACTGACTGCGGATCGCTGATGCCTGACTGTTGATGGGTGGTGACTGACTGCTGGCAGCTAATACTGACTGCGGATCGCTGATGCCTGACTGATGGCTGACTGCTGACTGGTGACTGCTGACGCTCACTGACTGATCGGGGTCAGCCGACCTCAGGTCACAGCCAGATAGATGCGTGCTGACCGCTTACTAAGACTACAGATGACCGTCCGCGCCGAGGAGGGAGCCGTCCCGCCTCCGGCCCGCCATCGACTCCAGAGCACGCACACAGGCCTCCGTTCGGCGGGCGTCGCCTCCCGCCTCCGCCGCGGCTCCATCGCGTCGGACGCGGCGATCCGCCGTCGACAGCGTCGATCGATCCGAGCAGTGGGGCCGACGCGCCGAAGACCCGCAAGTCCACCGGATCGGACGCGGCGCCGCGGCCGACCGCCTGTCGTCGCCGCCAGCGCCGGCCTCTGGCGAGCTCTGGCAGGACGGGACCCTGATCCCGGCCCCAGCGCGGCCTCTGGCGAGCTCTGGCAGGACGGGACCCTGATCACGGCCCCAGCGCCGGCCTCTGGTGGGCTCTGGCAGGACGGGACCCTGATCACAGCCCCAGTGCCGGCCTCTGGTGGGCTCTGGCAGGACGGGACCCTGATCACAGCCCCAGCGCCGGCCTCTGGCGAGCTCTGGCAGGACGGGACCCTGATCCCGGCCCCAGCGCCGGCCTCTGGCGAGCTCTGGCAGGACGGGACCCTGATCACGGCCCCAGCGCCGGCCTCTGGTGGGCTCTGGCAGGACGGGACCCTGATCACAGCCCCAGTGCCGGCCTCTGGTGGGCTCTGGCAGGACGGGACCCTGATCACAGCCCCAGTGCCGGCCTCTGGTGGGCTCTGGCAGGACGGTACCCTGATCACGGCCCCAGCGCCGGCCTCTGGCGAGCTCTGGCAGGACGGGACCCTGATCACGGCCCCAGCGCCGGCCTCTGGCGAGCTCTGGCGGGACGGGACCCTGATCCCGGCCCCAGCGCCGGCCTCTGGCGAGCTCTGGCGGGACGGGACCCTGATCCCGGCCCCAGCGCCGGCCTCTGGTGAGCTCTGGCAGGACGGGACCCTGATCACAGCCCCAGTGCCGGCCTCTGGCGAGCTCTGGCAGGACGGGACCCTGATCACAGCCCCAGTGCCGGCCTCTGGCGAGCTCTGGCGGGACGGGACCCTGATCCCGGCCCCAGCGCCGGCCTCTGGTGGGCTCTGGCAGGACGGGTACCCGGTTCTACCAGAGCTCGTGGATCCAACTGTAGCTTGTTTTGAGCTGTGGCACCAGAAACTGCCGCATTTAAAGTTTTTTTTCCGCGCAACTGTCAGTAGCCGCTCCAAAATGAAGTAAGAATAGTATGGGGGTTAAAGGGGCGTCCGTAGCCACTGTCGCAAAGTCCCTTTTCTGGAACTGGGCACCGAAGGACAAACAATGACGAATGGGTGATATATACACAACAATTCCTGGTTAGGTGGCTGTCCGAGAGCGGATTTCTCTAGATGCCGGTGCCGACATTATCCGTGAAAGTGAACGTCGAATGTTATTTGAAGCGTGATGTACAGCTAAATCATGGCTCGCTCGGGTCTTCTGGCGACGACGATCTTGATAAATGGATGTCGTGCATGAAATCACGTCACGGTATGCACCAATGGATATCTAATGACTGGATGGCGGAAGCCGGGGAATGGGCATGGCATACTGTGCCTGTATGGCATGCTGTGGGGTCACATATCACAAGAATCTCGTGCAATCGAGATTGTGAACCCGTCTGTTCCGAAACTCTGTGAAACGTTCGCAGACTCTGTCCGGACCTGCTGTTCCGAGTCGCATGCGAGATGTAGACGAGTGGAAGCACAAACATCCTGATAGGATCCACCTCCCAACCAGCCGTTTCAACGCGACGAGGAGCATAAGGGACGTCACGCAGCGTACGTCAGCCCCGCACCGGTGCGGCGTTCTGGTCTCAGCGGCTGCGTGACGGGCTTCACCGACTAGCCGCTGGCTCGGGGGCGAACGGTTCAGCTGCTCTGAGACGCGCGCGGCGACCCGGATGGCCGAGAGCGACACCGTTACTTGGGACTCACGCACCAGGAGGCAAGGGAGTTAGTCTCGTCGGCCGTGGCGCGTGACAGTCAGTCACGATGACAGGGTCGCGAAGACACGGCCAGGAGCGATCCGAGGGACAGCAGGGTTTCAGTCTCGTGGCCGTGTCACGAGGCAGCAGTCTTGTCGATGACCAGTGACCGAGAGGCCCTGAGTGACAGCAGGGATTCGGTCTCGTGGCCGTGTCACCAGGCAGCAGTCTCATCGATGACCAGTAACCGAGAGGCCAGGGGCGGTCTGAGGGACAGCAGGGGTTCGGTCTCGTGGCCGTGTCACGAGGCAGCAGTCTTGTCGATGACCAGTGACCGAGAGGCCCTGAGTGACAGCAGGGGTTCAGTCTCGTGGCCGTGTCACGAAGCAACAATCTCATCGATGACCAGTAACCGAGAGGCCCTGAGTGACAGCAGGGGTTCAGTCTCGTGGCCGTGTCACGAAGCAACAATCTCATCGATGACCAGTGACCTGGATGGCAGTGGTTTAGTATCGTATGCTTGCACAGGAGCATCGATGGCTCAGCCTAATGACAAGGCTCTCTCGAGAGAGATAGTGATTCAGCCTATTGACCGGTAACGGGAGAAGAGGTAAGGCTCAGCCCAGTGAACAGTCACGAGTGAGCACATAACCCGGTCTAGTGGTCAGTAACGGGAGAGACGGCGGCTAAGTTCAGCGACCTGGCACAAGACCAGCGGCAGTTTGGCGCAGCGACCTGGCACAAGACCAGCGGCAGTTTGGCCCAGCGACCTGGCACAAGACCAGCGGCAGTTTGGCGCAGTGACCTGGCACAAAACCAGCGGCAGTTTGGCGCAGTGACCTGTCACGAGAAGGGCAGCGGTTCGGCGCAGTGACCTGTCTCGACAAGGGCGTCGGTTCGACGCAGTGATCTTGTCACGAGAGGAGCGTCGGTTCGGTGCAGTGATCTTGTCACGAGAATGGCGGCGGTTCGGCGCAGTGACCTGTCTCGAGAGGGGTGGCGGTTCGGCGCAGTGATCTTGTCACGACAAGGGCGTCGGTTCGGTGTAGTGATTTGTCACGAGAAGGGCGTCGGTTCGGTGTAGTGACCTGTCTCGACAAGGGCATCGGTTCGGTGTAGTGACCTGTCTCGACAAGGGCGTCGGTTCGGTGTAGTGACCTGTCTCGAGAGGGGTGGCGGTTCGGCGCAGTGATCTTGTCACGACAAGGGCGTCGGTTCGGTGTAGTGATCTGTCACGACAAGGGCGTCGGTTCGGTGTAGTGACCTGTCTCGAGAGGGGTGGCGGTTCGGCGCAGTGATCTTGTCACGACAAGGGCGTCGGTTCGGTGTAGTGACCTGTCTCGAGAGGGGTGGCGGTTCGGCGCAGTGATCTTGTCACGACAAGGGCATCGGTTCGGTGTAGTGACCTGTCTCGACAAGAGCGTCGGTTCGGTGTAGTGACCTGTCTCGAGAGGGGTGGCGGTTC